AGAATACCAATTCTGCTGAAACTCAGTGTCAATACTGCCCACCTCATGCCTGGGGCTAAGTTATCTCAGAATAATGAGAGAAGGAACAAAGGAAGGGGACTCTGATGTGGCCACTGCTGTCATAATGTTTAGTAAAAGAACGTGATTGTGGCAAGGCATGGGCGCTGAGTCCTACAGATTTTCTCCATTTCTGGAAAGTATCCAATGGCAGGCACACTTGGAAGCCAGGGGTGCCTGAGAAGAGAGAAGCTCCCGTGTCTGGAAGAGCCTCCTCACCAAGTGACAGCCCTGGGGGTTCATCACTAGATTCAGCACCAAATCCAGGTACATGGCTAAAGGGTCAGTACAGTCAGGGAAAAAAAAAAACTTTCCAGGGCAAGGTTTGTACGATAGCCAGACCACTTGGAGTAGAACAGTGGCTCCTCCAGTGTTGACATGTGATCCTTTACAAATTTCTCAGGCTCTCCAAACTTCTGTTTCCTCCCTTGTGGAGTATAAATAACACACACACACACACACACACACACACACACACACACACACGTGCACACTCTCACACAAACACATGCATACATACACGAATATACCAATTACAATATAAATAGACACCACTACTCACCTCTCCCTTTTGTTTCAGTCTTCTTTCAGAGCTGAGAAGCAAAATGAGGATGGGAAGTGAGAAATGCTGGTGGTCTGGGGGGCAGCCTAGTGGTATCCCGGGGTGGGAAGTGGGAAGTGATGGCATTAGATGGAAAGATCTAGTTATAGAAAAATCTGGCTTTGCATTGCCTCGCTAGAAAATCTGGGGCCCTCGGAAGATACTGTGAGAAAAGAGGTACCCATCGGGAGACCCTAGTGCATCATCATGCAGGAACACAGCTCCTGGTTAAGGACCAAAACCCACGAACCACTGGAGGCTCAGACATCACAGTCCATCTCACATCACTGTCAAATGTACAGTGGATGGAAGGACAGGTGGTCATCTCAAGGGATTCCTTTCTTTGCTGTCATTGGTGAGCATGAAGCTCGGAGCCTCACACATGCTCAGTGGAAGTGACACATCCTCAGCCCCTCAAGGGTGAGCTATGTCCCTAGCCCCTTGAGAGGCTGTTGCTAATGAAGGCACACTCAACTCTTTTCTGGCTACAGAACGCTATCAAGAAGCAAGCCCGTCAGGCAGCCAGGAAGCCCAGCTTACGTTGTTGGGTGGCATTTTCCAAGTATTAGCTAAGCACAGCCTTTGTGTGCTGTTTGTTTTCGCTTGCTTATTTGGCAAGGTCAAATATCACTTTCAAGGCAATGAGAAAATAAAAACACTGTTAGAAACTTTCCCCAGACTAAATTATTTGTCCCGCTCCTTAGAGTCAGCCAACATCTTTCTTCCCGCCATGTTGTCCTTCATTAAAATCTGATGCTAATGTGGCGCGTAATGTGACAGCTATGAGCACACAGATGAAGTCATAAAGAAAATAAGCTTTTATTACTTTTCTAAAGACAAAGCAATATCTTAGAATCACAGAATAATGTTAAACTATCTGCCATGTGTTCACCCTCAAATTTCCCCTTTGTCTTTCTCCATATCTCAGGGACATTTTCTTTAAAAGCAATGAAACTTCCATTTACAAGTTCACTCTAGATCAGTAAGCCAGCATGGCATATTCTGGGCCATCTTCTAGAAGTAGGGAAAACTGCCTTTGAAGGTAGTCCACCAATTTCTTGCGTTTTCTTTTTTAATCCTCCGGTATTTTGAATAAACTAATAAGTTGTCACCCGACTCCTCTCCCTGTCACTCATTCCACGTATCTAATTAGGCAACACGTTAACTCTCTGATTAGCAATCCTCGAGCCCTTCTTGGATTTTAGAGACTGTCTTCTTGAATGCATTCTTCTGGAACCTGAATTGGGATGTTTTCAAAGTGCCCATCCCACCCCTCCTTATATAAAAATTTAAAGATTTCCCACCAATTAACCTGACGTGTTCACACTCTCACTCGTTAGGACACTCACCAGCTCTCTCCTCAATCTTCTCCCCGTCCCACTGCTTTATTCACACCCATATTGTGACTACCACCACCAGCAGTGTGGAAAACCCTACAGCCCTAGAAAGCCTGTGGTATTCTCATACAATCATACTATACTTGCCTCTGTCTTTCACATCCTGAGTCTTGTGTACTACCTTACCTCCCTCTTTGCTGGATTTAATACATAATTATATTGTACATGCTGTCTGGCAGGACCCATACAATGAACTGCAGGAATCTGATCCATTCAGTCAATGACTTTGGAGTGACAAGCCCAAAGTCACCTAAAAGAAAAGGAGAAATGATGTGGGATGTCCTTCTTTATGCTGTGAACATGTGTTACTCTCATTGGTTGATGAATAAAGCTGCTTTGGCCTATGGCAAGACAGGATAGAGCCAGGTGGGAAATCCAAGCAGAGATACAGGAGAAGGGTGGAGTCTAGCAGACACCATCCAGCTACCCAAGGAGCAAGATGCCAGCAGACCAGTAATGCCACAGCCAGCTGGCAATAAATAGATTGATAAAAATTGGTTAATTTGTGCTCGCTTCAGCAGCACATATACTAAAATTGGAACGATACAGAGAAGATTAGCATGGCCCCTGCACAAGGATGACACGCAAATTCATGAAGTGTTCCATATTTTTGGGCTGGGGGTAAGGGGAGGGGGTGGGAGGGGGGAGAATAGGGGAACCCATGGCTGATATGTAGAACTGAATGGTATTGTAAAATTTTTATATATATATATATATATATATATATATATATATATATATATATATATATATATTTGGTTAATTTAAGTTGTAAGAGCTAATTAATAATAAGCCTGAGCCATAGGCCAAGCATTTATAATTAATATAAGCCTCTGAATGATTGTTTACAAGTAGCCTGGGGACAGGGCAGGACAGAGAAAAGCCTCTGTTTACATTAATGTGTTGAAGCATAACAATAAGCTTGGAGCAAAGGTATTACCATCCTCATTTAACAGATGGGATCAGGTTATAAAACTAACTCAGCATCACACAGGCAGGAGGAAACACGATTCCAACTTAGACTGTGCCTCTCCTGAGTTCAAGCCTTGCTCACACAATGAGCTGCCCCTCTGTTCGGCCCAACTCAGGCACACCCTGACCACATACCTCAGTGGCTAACCAACCCCTGAGGCTCATTGTGTGCTTTCATGGCTCTTCTCCTCATTTAGACCATAAGTTACCAGAAGGCAGACACCATAATTCATCATGCCATCCTCAGCACAGGTGCTCAATACTTGTTTGATGAATGGACCAATAAGGGTGATAGATAGCCTTATTACGTGTCTCATAGTTGGCATAAGGAGACCGTCAAGGGGAGTACATACAAAGAAGTGTTTACTTCTTTTAGCTCACCATGCCTCTCTCTAACATTGTATCTAAGCCACCAAGCATGGGGAAACTGCATGGCCCCACCTCTCCCAATACCTAAACTCAGTAGTTGTGTTGCATAGACCAGCACCATCGTCTAGAACGTTCCAAGATCCTAATGATGTTCTGTGTCTGCACTGTCCAATAGAGGGGCCATGGAGTACAAGCTTAGAGACAAAAAGATTAAATCTTTCATTGCATTTAATTAATTATTTAAGGGTTACATAGGCCCATGTAGATAATTGTATAGAACACAATGTATTCTGGAGCCACAAGCAAAGAAGCAGAGAGGAGAGTAGTGATAAAAAGAGCTGGATATCAGAAATCCCTGGGTTTGTGTAGGCCTGAGGAATTCAGCTGGGGTGGTCAGTGCTGAAAATGTGACAATCCCAAGCAGACAGGGACAGTCAGACAGACAGATGACAAGAAAGTGCCTAGGCAGACCTAACTGGAGGTTTCACACAAGAACTCTCGAAAAGCAGGAAAAGCAGTTGGGGAAAGCCTGGGATTAGACCAGGGGGAAGACCCAGATACACGGCAGAGGAGGGGCCACCCATCCCAGAAGCAATTGTTTCTCGTCCCTTGATGTCTCCATGTATCTACACGTCCTAACACCTGGTTTCCAGCATAGAGCTTTCCAATGAACATGTGTGGCTCTCTTTGATGCTTGCTCCTTTTCAAATGCATGGGCTTTGTTTCACTCATCTGCTCTTCGCTGGAGGAGTCAAGACGACAGCCTCCTCAACATTCTTTGATCTGCCATTCAAATTTCCATTTTCATCCCATAATCTGTTAATCTTCCCAGCATCTCTGGGCAAGGTTGAATTAAATTCCCATATTGAATCCCAACATGAAAGGCATTTCTTTGTGAGAGGCTCAGTAAAATGTTCTTCGAAGTGACATTTAAAATGCTCAGCTCCATAATGGAATGATAAAACAGGGCTCCCGGTGTTAGTACACACTGGTAAAAAGAACATTTTTTTTTATTAGTCAGAAACTAAAAAAGATAGAACAAGATAATTTTTTAAAAGTTTATTCCTGCTAGACTGTCACGGTGGCATTATGACTCAAACTATAATAGTCACTGAATTCCTGTAGGAATCTAACTTCTTAAGGAGATATCAGACATCAAAGCCTGATTCACACCACATTAACCACCAGTGGCCAGAAAAAACTTTGAATGCCACTGGAGAAGTTAAATATTAGATTTTCCCTGAAACACTTAAACCTAGAAAAGCCAGCCTCGCAGTTGCCACACAGACTTGTGTGCACTCTTTATAGGCCTCCAGACAGATCGGTGCACACCCCTCCTCCTGTTGCTATGGTGACCCAAATAAATTCTCTCCTGAGATCCATTTCTCTCAGATGCCAATGCATCAGGTCAAGCAGGCGGGCAGGCTAGCAAATAACACGCTGGCCCTAAACATTCTCACATTCTCCAGGCAACTACAAAGAACCATTTCTCCAGACATCACACCCAATCTCAACATTTCTGCAATTCTAATTCCATTACAGCCAATAAAACAGGGGGGTGGGGTGGGCGGGAATCACTCCATGCTCAGCTGTTTCTTTTATAGGTTTCACCATCAAACTGAATTGTTTGCAAAAGGCAAAATGGAAGAGAAAGCAAGAAGAACTTCTCCTACCCTCCATCCACGATCCGTCTTTTTGTTCACCTTCAAGACTTCTCAGCAGAATGTGTAACGCCAGGGACGCTTGCTGCCTGCCCTCCATATATTAATATGACATCAACACCATTAAATATGGTATTTAATACTATGAAGTAGAATCGGAGGTGGGGGGGAGATGATTGTGAAAGAAACTGAGCTACTACCAGAAAATCCTTCCAGAAAGCCCTCGACTCCTAGAGAATATGCAGCAAACACTCTACTAAAAGAAACCACTTTGAAAATTTCTGCCACTAGAGATGTTGTCTTTTAAAGTGTCTAGTGTCTGAGACTCCCCATAGGTATTAAATATATATGACATATCATAGCAGATAGACATGTCTGAAGACCATCACCTAGACAAGCAGCATTTCACAGTAGCCGTCTGTGTGCTACAGGAAACATCCTAACTATACTCCCAAAGGTTTGGGTCTATTCATTTCACCTAAAGACATAGAATATATTGATGGCAAAAAACCCTAACTCAAGGTGTTTTAAGAGGGAAGGGAAATGTGGACATCTTACCCCAGGTCTACTGATAACAAGAAGGCATGGATAAACATATAGTGCCTCGCTGCGATCCGCTTAGTGGTTGTTCATTCTGTTTCCCAGATGAGGAGCCTCAAAAACAGAGGAATGAATAACTTTCTAAGAACTTGTCACTGAGCCAAGAACTGATCCTGGAATGTGTATCCCAGTTTGGTAATCTGGGTTTGCGGCTTCCTTGTTCTGTGTCTCTGGGGGTCCTCAATACAGTTGGATGGATGGATTTCTACCCTCAAACTTTTGAATTTGTCCTTTCATATCATCTGCTTCTCAAAGCAGGCTCTGTCTATCTATCCATCTATCTATCTATCTATCTATCTATCTATCTATCTATCTATCTATCTATCTATCTATCTATCCATCCATCCATCCATCCATCCATCCA